TCAGTAGTAGTTGAATAATCTTCATAATACAGATGTATTAGGACCTTAATAGTAGCCCTGTTATAGACTCTTACTGTATGGGGGCCGTACCTAAGTTATAAAGGTTTGTATGACAGCCCTAAACAGAAGGTTTGCCTTCCGCAAGGCTGAGTTTGGACTTCAGGATTAGAGGTTTGCATGCAGAAAGGGTTTAGGGTGGTTAAGTGGTTCTGTGATTACCATACTGATAGTTGCACGACAGCTTGCTTATGAGGAGCTGCCAGGGTTCAGGGGCGAAGAGACATTTGGTTTAGGGCCTAGGGTTTGGGGTTGAGGGAGTTTAGGGGACATGAGCCTTAATTCCTTAACCCTGCCGTGCCCTCCCTCAACTTACCCTCTCTGAAGGCGTTAATACTTATTATCGGTGACCGCTAGGGCGGGGCTATAAGGTAAGGATCTCCTTACCTCACACTTAGCAGGGCTTTGGGCTTGGTTTTGGGGGATTTTCGGATTTGGGATTTGAGGTTCTGGGTGTTTAGCACCTTATGTGCCCTGAAGCACGGAGCCCGCACGACCCGGTGACCCTTCGCGTCAACAGCCATCATGCTCATTTGTGTTCCTTGGTATCAGCATGACAGTTACCAGGGGGCTGGCGCGAGATTTTTTGTTAGGTTCGTCCTCAACCTTACATCCTGACGCCTGCGCCAAGAAGCGTCTTCCAAGACGAGCTTCCGGCTAAGTGATGGTTTGGAAGGCTTAGGGGCTAATGTAGGGACCTGATAAAGAAACCCTGGCCCTAATACGGGCCCAAGGTTTTTTAGTCAGCCTACATCAGGGTATATTGATTGTATCAGGATCCAGGCCTTGGGGTAAAGCTTTGTAATGCAGGCGCTCTTGAATTAAACAATACTACTCTGAGGTTCATTATTATTATGGTATGATATAACCCGAAAACCTATTCTAATTATTAAGGCCCCTGTATTAGGCTGGCTCTGGTTTAAACGGCTGGAAGTTGGGCGTCGTTTGGTTTGTTATTCCTGTGTCAGGCGGTATTTGTCCATGTAAGTGTTCGGTTTGCCATGGACAGGAGAGAGCCCCCGTACAGATGCAGACTTTATTCTGCTACAAGTCCTAAACCTTGAACCCCAAATCAGAAAACATACGCCAAACCTCAAGCCGTAAACCGAAATAGGATGTAGAAGGTTGGGGTGCATCTATTACCCTTGACAGCCGGATCACGAAATACCAAGAACATGACACCAGGCACACAACAGCAGTATAGGGATCGGAACAGGTGATGGCATCCCGATCGTCCCTAGTTTTCTACGCTAGCCTATTCCCCCCCCACCCTATTCTGACTATTGAGCCCCCCATGTTTTCGAGGCTGTCATCCATTTGAGGCATGGAGACATTCCGTCTGTGACCAGGGTTTAGATTTTGTTTTTGAGGTTTCGGGTTGAGAGTCACCTGCTTTGCATGCACCATTGGATTTGCTAGATCTGCACCAGTTGGTAGAACTCTCGATTTTTCATGTATGGGAGCTGAGGTAGGGTAACCCGGGTGCCTTATATCAAGACATCTAACCCCCACCAACCTTTTTCGATTGAAGATTGTGGGTTCAGTAGCCGACGGAAGTACTAGCATCCTGCTAAAATCGCTTGATAACACCAGGAAAACATACCCGCCCCCCTTTTCCAACAAACATTTGCCCTCATAGGGGCCCGGAGGCGTCGGATCTGATACGCTTCAGCGCAGGTCAGTCTTCCCTTTTTGAATTGCCGCGGCAATGCTGGTGACGCACCAGCACGCAGTCCGAATGACCCCTCTGTGCTTTCGCAACGAAGCCCCGCGACATGACCTCAGAATCCAGAACTTCGCGAGCTTGAATAATTCAGCCTTCAATTTCAGGCCTTGAATTTCAGGGCCACAGGATGCTTAGCGCAAGAAGCCTAGACGGGCTACGAATTACATACAACACCGTCTCATTAGATCGATCCTTTCGAAACTTGAGGACCCTTCCAGAACTCTAGTGCTGTAGGACTGCGTAGCTAATAATGTAGGAACCTGATTAAGGAACACTGGCCCTTTAACCCCCGAATAGTATTATAGGGTTCATATAAGGAGCCCTCAAAAAGGCCCAAGGTTTTTTGAATCAAGTTCCTACATTATTCGTGAGTAGAGTTTATGATGGGGCCGGTGCTGTGTCAACCTCCAGCACGGGCCGCCAAAACCCTATTCTAATCATTGAGACACCCATACTAAGCCGTGGCAGAGTCATGGACCTTGTCTGCAGATCGCAAAAATCGCTCAAATCCTGGTGGTCTTAGATCCCCAATACCTATCCTTTAAACGGTTTGGGTTCTTATAGTTTAGTAGGAATTGGAAAGTTTAACCTCTTATTTCTGTGGCTTATTGGGGTAGTAAGCGTTTGTCAGCGAAGCCCTAAACTTCACACAGTGTGGGGTCGTGTCGAACAGCTCTCCGCACTCCAAACTCGAAGATGAAAAGCAGCGCTGTCTGGCAGTGCAGCTTGCGGTAGAAGTGTGCAATGCGGTACCCAGAGAGGTCTTAACCCTTGAGGAAGGAATAACTGCTTAGATCACACGAAGAGTTATTGAAAGTCTGTCTCTCTCTTTCTGCATGTATGCCTGCATGTCTGTATGTATGTATGTGCGTCCTTGTGTATGTACATATGCATGTATGTACGTAAGTATTTACGTATGTATGTATGTATGTATGTATGTATGTATGCATGTGTATGTGCATGTAGTTTTATGTGTATATGTATGTGTGTATGTACATGCATATCTATATGAATGTGTGCAACTGTGTGTGTGTACATGTATATGTAAATGTATACGTTTAATTATATGCGTACATTTCTGTCAAGATCTGCATACATGTGTATATACAGATATGTCCGGATATGTCTAAATTCACATGCCTATATATGCTTGTATATACGTCTGTTTGTAAGTATGTATCCACAACAATGAGAAGCCAGGTCCTTCTGGGTAGGCAGCACAAAAGCAGCCGTCTTACTGCGGACAAACGAGGCCTCTGAAGACCGTGTGTTTTCCCTGAGGTTTAGAGTCTAGAGCTTGCTGATATACAGTAGGGTGTCCGGTTTAGGGGTTTTGGGGTTTCATGCATACATGACGATCGGTGCGTTGGCATCACAGCTCTAAGGCTCTCAGGTGTTACTGTGTTTCGGTTTGATGTCTTGTTGCTGACTCGAGGTCAGAATCAGTTTCTTAAACATGGTCCATACTTAACGTCTGAACCCTAAAGTTGCAAAGCCATGAAATTTAGCTCAAGTCCAAGCAGACGGCTTCCCGGAGAGTTGTGTAAACTCTCCGGTCCTCCGCAAACAGACGGCGGTGTGGCTTTGCATTCCCGGGTAAAGCGCTATCGCCTACCCTGTTTAGGATTTGGGGTTTAGGCCATCTAGAACCCTACCTTAACTGGAGCCCTGAAGCCTCATGTTATTGTCCGGCAGGAGACAGAGCGACTCAACAACAATGTGGACAGACCACTAATTCCCATGTGCTGGGTTCTGGGGTCTGAATAGTCTTCATAAAATTGAATTTGTACTGCGTAGCTTAAGACTCTTGAGTAGAAAGGTGTACTGCATTCGAATCGTGCTAGCGTGAGAGTGTATGCAGTTTTTAGTGGACTGTCTTTCTGGAGATTACTTGCATGCCCCTGCATTTTAGGTTTAGGCTAAGCCGCCATCGCTTGTGCACTTCTGTCGGCATCGGCTCCAATCCTTGCATAACAGCGCAATTCAAACAGGCATGATTGCTGATTTAAGGACCTTGTTAAGGGATGCTCCGCATGAGCTACATGTGACACCATCTGCTTGGTTTGCAAGCCCGGAAGTCTCTAACAATTAAGGCTTAGTACACGCGGTTTCTATTCATCAACTGTTGTCTTTTTCATGCAACTAGAAGCTCGGGAATGTAGCTGGAGGCTTCGAAGCCACTTGCTGACTTCGCCTGCACACAGTGGCTGCGTAACAAAAGATTCGGCCGCTCTCCAGCCAGCAAATGTAGCGAACGCGCCATTGCACATTGCGAAGCGTAGCGCTGAGGACCTAATGTACACGTACTGAACAACTGTGCCTAGAAGATCCTCCAAGCAGATGGTATCCCTTTTGTCTCTGGAACTTCGTTGCCTGATGTAATAAGCCACTTTTCTCATCGTTTCTTTCACTAGCGTGGTTAAGCCGACACCGTTGCCTCCGCTACTTGGCCCTGCTGCACATGGTCATGCATTCGTGATGATGATGCTGATGATGACGGTTGCAATGGCGATGAGGAGGCGGATGGTGAAGACGCGAGTGATGGAACACAGCTACGCGCTTGGTGATGGGACCACGGTGGAACTCACCAGCTCACCATGATGACTACGATCATCATCATCATCAGCATTTGCTTGGCACCACAAACATACAGAGTATCTTTGTCGCAGAGAACTCAGCATAACATAGGAGCCGCAAGAGCAAGTAAAGATATTCCGTGATCCTTAAACTTGCTATATACACAACTTTACCAAGTGATACATACACATACATACATATATATATATATATATATATATATATATATATTTGGTACCCCCCCCAAAAAAAAAAACCACGCTTCGCTGTCAGGTAATCTCGACTTGCTCAACTTCATCGGAGCATGGATGCAGCTGCAATAACGTTCAGGGTCTTTCAGGGCTTCTCAAGTTGAGGGATTCGCGAAGCGACGTGTAAGTACCTGATGCTCAAAATTATGCCTCTCCGTGACTGATATTTCAGCGGATTCGCAGATTCGCAGATTTGCAGATTCGCAGATTCGCAGATTGTATATGCGCCACAACCTAGGGTCTGTACAATCTGCGAATCTGCAACATATTATCAAAACTATATTTTAGGCGTTCACACTCGTGTCCAAGCATCACGTGTACTCATGTACACCTTGTTCACGCAGCCGTTGAAAAGATCAAACTCAGCTTTCTATCGTCCTTTTCCCGCCATGGACGCGGACAACATTCACTTCGCGCCGGCAAAAGAGGCCACGGAGCAGATGGTGCTCCGCGAGCTTCATGAGCATGTGTGTGTTGGCCCTATGCCACTTGGTGCTGTCAACGTCGTGAATCTTCCTATCCGCGAGCCGCTCGTACATGACAAGGACATTCGTTGTAAGTTATGCATAAATATAGATCTTCTAGTATTCGGTTCGTTATGAGATTAGCGATAGATTTCGTTGTATACCATTAAGGTTCTCATCGCCAACCCAGCTCATGACGTACTTCCTTGATGTTTCTCATGATGTTACAAAAACACAATCTGGACATGGACAATCTCAAGGGCGTCTTCAACAACAAAGCTTGGAGTGATCTTCCTGCTATCATGAAGCTGAAGGGCAATCCCAGTTTTGACTACAAGACGCAGTACTTCATTCAGGAGCAGTCCAACGGCAACTACACGATTATCAAGCATGTCTACTTGACAAGCAGAGACTCACGCAAGCTAAGATAGAAGCGTGTGCTACGGGCGAGCTCTACGAAATTGCTTGGGGTCAAGGAAACAAGGTGGTGGAACGGAAAGCTTTGCAGTGGATGTTGGAGCAAACAGGCGGTTTGCAATTCAGGCAGTTCTCACTTTCGACAGAGAAGAAAAGGCCTGTAGCATCATCTGCTATGGGCGCAACCTCTACCGAATATGACCAAGATGCGGGATGGGACTTTATTTTGGAACACGGAGAGCGTGACAGAAGTCAGTTGAAGCAGCTCCGATGGATTCACAAGAACATCAACAGAGACGGCTCCCCCATTCGTGGTTGGTCTGAAAAGCTTGTGCAGAAGGCATTGGACTCCCTGGCAAATGACAACTGTCTAGCGAAACTCATCACAAGATACGACCTTACCGCGCAGGACCTTCACCCGACTTTTGTGGAGAATATCTTTCAAGACGCAGTTGGCTTCCTGCTGGACCACAGCTTCTGGCTAATGGGAGAGCCTGGGGTTGGGAAAACCCCCTTGGCTCGGATCATTGCCACGTTGTTTAGCAGATATCATGGAGGAGACGGAAAGTTCCGCACAGCAGAAGACTTTGATTTCTTCCGCGGCTTGCACTTTGGTAAGTCTACTCCTGCTCTGTACGACGACGGAGATGTATCCCTCGAGCCCATTAAAAAGAAAAGGCATTTTCTGATGTCGGCAACAACGAGGGCATCCTTAAAGAGAGATGGACAGCCGCAAAGTTCGTGCAAGGCCAACTCCGTGCCATCATCGACAACTCCTATGCCAACCTGGAGGTTGCCAACCCAGAGGCCACTTCCATCTCTCACGATGAGTTCGTGAAAATGATCGGGCCCGCCATAGGCCACATTCCCAGCGCCGACACCAGAGCCATTCTCAAACGCAGCGTCTTCATCGTCTTCGCCAAGGGTTGCATCTACTATCGTCCACCTTCACAGGATGTTCTGCCCGTCATGAGAATGAAGTGGGTCCTCAAGGATATACTGGTGGATGATTGCAAGCCTCGCTTCAACAATTACAAGAAGAATGGTCCACCCCCATATGACTTTGACGCCCGCGTTGTCACAGAAAAAGCTTGGCTCGATGAAGCTCTTCGCGTTCATTCCAAAAAGCACACCTTGCAGAGGCACTACAGCAACATTCTTCCGGAGACTGTCATCAAGATGGAAGCTTCTGAGTTCGAGGAAAACCATGCAGGTTTGGCAAACATGTGTAATGGAGAGGCTCTGGATGTGGAAGCGGACAGCCCGCCCCCGCGACCAGTTGCTGCACCAATGACGCCGGAACGTAAAATCAAACAGGAAAAGTTTGAGCAGGATTACGCTACCTTCCTCCTGAAGAGCCACGCTTGGAGCAAATCTCTTGGTGTCAACACTACCATCGAGTTGTCGCCCTCGCAATCCGATCGTGCAGCTGCCTCTTCGCCATCGCAGAACCAGATTCCACATCCGGCTATGAGCGATTCTGATCAGATGGATGTTGCTACCTCGCCTTCAGAGTCTCACATCTTTGACTTCGGTGACCAAGTGGATGATGCAGCGTAGCTTCCGTAGTATCACTACAACACGTTTTGACGAAAGCTCTAAACTGGCACCGTCTGTCGCAACATAACCATTATCATTGTTTAAAGCGTGTTTGATATGATGAAATATTTCAGAGTTTTTATGTTCATCTTGGTTAAATATGACAGAGCCCGAAGAGCGAAATGACAACCCTCACACACCGCACGCACTATCCGCAGCGACTAAAACAATGAGGGTTGGACTTTGCAGTGTTTGCGAGCAAGCATGTGCTTGAACCACGCGGCTTCTGCATGTCGACACCTTGTGTTTTATATGACAACGAGTTTTCAGGCACAGTGGAAGCTGATAGCCTATCATAACACCAACGTATTCCAAGATGACCAAAAAGGTCTCATCTCCGATTGTTCCCAAAAAAGGGAAACTCCGTTCTGTACAGAAGCGCCCAGCGACCAAGAAGACCAAAGCATGGCAGGCGGTAATGTACATCCGTGAGAATGTTGCTGTTGGCCCTCGTTGTATACGCAAAGAGCAAGCCAAATGGAAGCGTGCTCTCCTTCAATTACTCATGGCGTCCAACAAGGAGATCGTCAAGATGCTGGTGGCGGACCGCATTCTTCCGAATTGGAAGAACAAGGTCTGTCCGAGATGCGAGGCAGGTAGCTTATCCGAACTCAAGCTCCATACTCCCAGCGCGGTCAGTACAAGCATCGCTGCTCATCCCGGGCTTGCCACGTTTGGATCAACCCACACCATCTGCACCCACTCTTTACTGACGGGCGTGGAACGGGGGCACAGAGTCTGCAGATGCAGAGCAGTCTCCTCTTGATGAAGCTCTTGCGGGTTCCTCATCGTTCCATTCATCTTCTTCTGGACATCAACCACAAAGCAATCGAGGATATGGAAAAGCGTCTATGTGAGCTTCGACGGGTATTTGTTGCAAAAGAGGAGAAGAAGATTGTCTTCGGGGATGGCAAGAATTGGAAAGATGTCGAAGCAGACACTTGGAATAACATTGGTACCTATATACACGTGATCATTGTCACAGTGCAGCCAACAAACCAATACTTTACTAGTTTATCTTGGACACATTGTCTTTCGTGTAATCGATAAGACCGCGTGTAGGAATTTGATAAGTACGTCACCTAACATTCGTTGCATCTTATCTTAGTAGCATATTCTACATTTTTTGATTCTATAAGGAATTGTCTTATGATCTGACTTTGATACTTGTATGCGTAAAGAACCGCCCTGTGTTTTTTATTGTAACACCGGAACATTTTGTAATGTTTTGTTATTCATAGGACGAAGCGACCTTCGACAAGCGCGATATCTCCAACGAGTTGGACTTCAAGCATCTCATGAAGAACAAGAACACTACCATCATGTGGGAGCAATGGGCTGGGTGTATTCAGAGTGGACATCCACAGTCATTGGTTTTGCAGAGACTTACTCCCAAGGTCACCGTGACGAGAGCCCCCGGCCCAGGAGCTATCCGTCGTGTAGAGTGGAAACAAATCGGCACGAAGCTGTTGAAAGATCGTAACGTTGTGTTACATACCGATTCAGCAAAGTCATACAAACTCGTCATACCCGGAGTCATTCATGATCGCGTGGTCCATTGCCGCAAGCGCGTTAAGCAGAACGGGAAGTACACCTGGATGCATCCTAAGTACGTTTCCATTGTGAAGCACACCCTGCCGAAGAGCAAGAAGATTTTGTCTAGGAAATCGGGCACTCAAGTGATTGACAGATGTTGGCGGTTTTTGCAAGACCGTATCCAGATCAACCAGCACAGCAAAGCTGGTTCGCATTTGCTTCGGGCTAAGCTTAGAGCAGCGCAATATGAATATTGGTACCGCAACACAGACTTGTGGCTCAAGTGCAGTGAATTGTGTGCCGACCACATGAAACTGTTTATGTAAAGATCTTGCGGCCATGCGTGTGGTCTCCATCTGCTGATGGCACAGATCATGTAGAAATGCTGTGTTGTGGCAAGTTTTGTGTGACCCCGAGGAAGCAGTTTTGCACAGCGCATGAAAAAAACAGTTTGAGCGACCTTGCTGCGTAGCAATATTTTTCAAACGCGCGTTGAGAATGATTGTGTTACATATCCCTCAGCCTTTTCTGCGTCGAAAACATCATCCCGAACAATCCCTTCGAAGATACGTCTTTGGTGCCATGGTATACCCTTATGGGACATGTGGTGCCGCTCGACGTCACCTATGTGATCGGCGAGTTCATGGACGGCTGCTGAGCCAGAACTTCTTATTTCCATCTTCCCTTTTCTTGTAAGCATAATAAGACAACTATACCTCAGGTATCGACGAAGATGATGATGTCCTTCTCGGGCCTGCTCCGTCTGCACCGGTTTTCCGGGAAATTGTCGAAGACAGATTGCCGAATGGATGCTCGCATACAAATAGTACATATACACGCTTTTTTGTTTGTTTCGTCACCATAAATAATATTTACTTGACACGACTATAAGACTGAGGGCAGCCAGTGCTGCGGATAGGCGAGGTGTTCTTTAAGCTGACAAGGAATCGTGAAGCGGCCTTGACCGAAGAAGACATCTTTGCATTGTCTCGTTGAGACGGTGGGACCTCTGCTGCGAAAGGACATGAAAACAACGCGTGCTATTGTATTGTGTATAAGCTCATGATGCAGCATAGTTCTGTAAGGGGTTATCGCGCGCGCGGGGGTGGGGTGGGATGAAGACGTATTGCGTGTATACTAGCTTTATCCCACAGCGACTCGACTGCATTTGTCCGGTTCAAGCACGTCTCCTCTGGCCGAGAAAAAAATGAAAGACAAGTCTACCATACGATAAGAGCTTTCTTGTTTGCTATAGTAGTTCTCGTAAAAGCTGTTAGGTTTGGAGTCATGATTGACCACGGCCGAAGACGTAGCAAGTCTCCTTTGTTGCTGTCCTGGTCCTAAGGAAGCTGTTCGGCTGTTAGGTTTGGAGCCATGACTTACTATGGTCGAAGACGTAGCAGGTCTGCCAGACGGACTACCACTTTGAGTGAAGTATCTACGCTGCCTCCCTATCGGTTCTTGTGGAATGTTTCGATTATCTTCTATGTCTACGGCAAACAATTCCGTGGCAGAGGCGAACGTGAGAACTACAAGTACAGGGTGGGTTGCTGCGACATTAACGACCCAGATAGAGATCCAAGTCTCAATGGTCACGCTGGATTCCATGATTACATACTCGAGAGGACATATCGTCACGTGCGGTGCAAGGATCTGATAGGCGACTTCCTATGGTGGATTATGACGCGCCCAGAGGGTACAAGTAGTCTGCACGTGAGCGTCTACTGCGTCCGCGGCCGGCACAGGAGCACTGCGATGGCAGGGATACTAACCCTTATGACCCAAGCGCTCGGATGCCAAAGTGTATATACTGTGTACAGGGAGCGGCAAGCAGGTAACTGGTCTCGCTTATGTACAGATTGTGACAGCTGTGCATGGTCCAGTGACGCAAACAAAAGCCGAGTTCGCAGAGAAAGTAGAAGATGACACTCGGAGCTTGGTCAAGTCCTTCCGACGAAGTCTCACCTGACAGTTTTGCTGCAGTCTCACTTGACAGTTTTGCTCCTGTACAAATGATCGGCCTTTGGAGACAGCTTTTATGAGGAGAGTGCGCTAACTACATTAATTACCTACTAACTCGCCCTACACAACTCAGGCGAACGGATGCAAAGAAACTTGGAGTTTTTACAACAGGGCAGACAACAAAGCAATGCTTCGCTAGATTATCTTATATATATATATATATATATCGTCTTATGCGTAATTCCTGATAGCAATTGTACTAGTATTGTAACAAATTAATGCTGGAGTGAATTATTAGGATATTATACTAGTTTCGCGGGTCTTAAGGGGGGGGTAGCATATGTATATATATATATATATATGTATATATATATATATGTATATATATATATGTATATATATATGTATATATATATATATACATATATATATATATACATACATACATACATACATACATATATATACATACATACATATAAATACGGATATATTCCCATATTCCCTTACAGGTATATACTCACTATAACACCGTGTTCTACACTATACAGTCTCTCATGTTTTCATCAATTGAGGTGCAATGGCCCTTAGCAGACAGAGTAACCCTTGCTTCGAATTTGCCAAATTCGCCTGTGGAGCTCAGACCCCTGGTCAAGTTTGTGCAGACAAAAAAAGGCTGAGGGCTTAGGGTGTGGAGGGCTTAGGGTTTAGGAGTTAGGGCTTAGGGTTTAGGATTTAGGGCTTAGGGTTTAGGATTTAGGGTTTAGGATGTAGGATTTAGGGTTTAGGGTGTAGGATATAGGGCTTATAGGGTTTAGGGATGGCTTAGGGTGGGTGTTTTGAATGCAACCGTGTCTACTAGGCTCTTAGTTAGATATGTTTTCCTGTTTTGCTTTCTGTTTTAGGGATTTCCAGAGGATGTTGCTCTTCGTTCCTTTCTAGGGGCCTACAGCAATGCAACTACTTCGGGTTTACGATTTGAGGTTAGGAGTCGAACTTCGGGAAAACTTGCTGCCCGAAAGGTGAGGGCCCCAAAGCCGGCCCTGTGCCCAATCACACAAGCTTAAATTGTGGGTTTCGGGTACGGGCTTTTGGGCTCTGGGTTCAGGGTTTAGTGGTGTAAGATTTACGGTTTCGGGTTTGGGGGTTTAAGGCTTGAAAGGCTTAGGGTTAGGCCCATGGACCCTAACCTCAGCAGCGCCTTCGACCTCCAGACCCGATCAGTAGTAGCACTCCTCAGGATTATTAAAGAAAAACTCTACCACCCCAGTATAATTTCATGTAAGGGTCGGAATAATAACCGATAGTATTCCTTGCAGATCGTTTGATGAATATTAAGAACTCCCATCCTGGTCCTACCGTAGTTGTTGTGACTGTCAGCAGCCTGACCTCTAAACGGGAGTTGGGACCCTAACATAGTACCCCAAACAGTAGGATCTTTATTGTTAAGGACCCCAAAATAAGGTACCCCCAATTTTCGGAAATTCTAAACCCTAAACCCCTTATAGAACCCTTATAGGATCCCCTTATGGAATCCTCAAAGGGTCCCTTTAAAAGGTATACCCCCTAATTTGATGCCTCGGCATTTCGACTTTCAGGTCTATGGTTTTTTGAGGTGTCGGGCTTCGGGATTAAATTTACTGTAGTTCAGGGGTTTGGGTTTCAGGCTTCCCAAAGGGTCCTAGGAATCACACTAGTGATAGTAGTTTCGGTCGTTTCAGGTACAACCACCATACCGCCCTTCTTATTGCTCTGCTAGGGGCCCATTAGTCCATTAGTCAAAATTAGTAAGGATAGCACTATCTCGTAAGAGTCTCTTGGTGACCATACTTTCATTTCCATAAACTTAGATCCCCAATACCTAGCTGTTAAACTTTGGATGGGTTCTTATAGTTTAGTAGGAATCGGAAAGTTTAACTTTTATTTCTGTGGCTTATCTGGGGTAGGGTAGTAAATAAAACCATATCCCAGTCTCGTCCCGTTTTGCCCTCACCGTGGAATACCCAAAGGGCTGAGGGTTTGCAGGTTGCAGGGTTCAGAGATCAGGGCAAACAGCGCCCAAAAGTCCCTCAGCCCCATGTTCGGAGTAAAAAACGCTTATAGTCCCCACTTGTTCCATCCATATGTAGATACATATATATGTATATATATATATATATATATATATATATATATCTGCATACCATTCAAGCCGTGTTCGAATCATAGAGACCCTTAGCTGAAACCCTGCATTCTATCACCAAAAGGTACTTAGGACCGCTTAATGGGCCTAAACTCTAAACTCTCGATCAACCCTAAACCCAAAGCCGTGTTCGGATTATGAAGGCCCCTCTCTTCGGGATAAGGCTTGCAGACCCGAGCGGAAACTTGCAAGCCCAACGCAGATAGCTTTAAAGCCGAATGTCTAGGATTTGGGGGTTTAGGGGGGGAGAGGGTTTAGGGTTCCTTTAAAGGATTCATAAAAATCACTCTTTCGGGATTCTTCGGGGTTCTATAAAGGGGTTTAGGGGATTGGGTTTAGGGATTAGGGGTGTAGGGTTTAGCGCATTGCCCTGGAGCCTACAGCCCCAACCCCTAGACCCTGGAATCTTGACAGCTAGCCCTACGCCCTAAAACCCTTGCCGATACCGAGCTGGGCAGGAATCAAGGCAAGTCGACAAGATAGTGAAGAGGCGAGCCCTCGCGGGCACGGCGTGGGGACCGGAAAGTTTGGGGGCTTTGATTGCGGGCATTTCATGGACTCAGGATCGCCAGTCTTTGGTACAGGTCCCACAATGAATAATGGTTTAGGGCCTAACTTAACCCGGAATAACCTACCTCTTTAAGGATTTATATAAGGAAATCATAATAAGGAACCCTAAAAAGGTAGGTTCTTTAGGGTCCAGGCAGGGGTATCCAAGAAGGGATTTCGTACTTGCAAGCAGCCGGTGGATCCTACACCTGGGGCCTAAAATTGATTTTGCTTGGCCCAGAGCCGAAGATGCTGTTCTATAGTTTAGGGTTTAGGGGTAAAGTCGTGGAGGCGGCCGTAGCTGGTTGAGGGCTTTGAGCTTGCACGAATGGGCTTCAACATAGAAGCCCAAATATCATGCCCGTGTTATTCCTTGGGTTGCTTATTCTACTGAACCAAAATGTCCAAAGTCCACCCATGAAGTCTTATAATAGTTTGGGTTTAAGTTTAGGCTTTTAGGCTTTAAGGTTCCATGGTTTAGCGTTTTAACGTTTAAAGCTCCATTGGGGCTGAGGGTTTTAGAGTGTAGGGCTCTTGGGTTTAACATTCAGGGTTCTAAGCTTTGGGGCTAGGGGTTTAGGGTGTAGGGTGTAGGGATTAGGCTTCAGGGTTACGGGTGTCAGCTTAGGGTCC